CTCTCTCTCTCGCTTTCAAAGCTGGTAAAACAAAATTATTTTTTTTATCAATTTCTCAAGCACAGTCTGACCTTAATCAGTGGATTTATTTTTTTATATCTATGTATATCAAAAAGTCAGGTTTCTGTATGTACAGTTATATATGACCATCAGTCTTCACTGCTGATGATACTGACAATAAAACGATCCATCCATAATGTCTGATTTTTACCCCACTGTTTAATTTAAACGTTAGCTATCTTTTCATTAGAAAGTGAAAACAAAAAACAAAAAAAATGTCGATGTTCAAGAGGAAATGTAAGTATTATTTGACAGGGATACAGTAATGTATTCTTTCTTGTACATGTTCTGCTTTATTGTCATATATAAAATACAAAATTAAAGTAATGAAAACAAGAACAAGGCAGGACTGAAGTAAAAAAAAAAACATACTTGAAATTAATATTCATCATCGTTATCAGGATATCTCATACTTAGAAAAATATAAGTGATTAAACAAGGAAACACAAACAAGTTTTAGAAAGAAATGAGTGAAATCAGCGACTGTCCCTTATCTTGACATACAGAGCTGCCTGTATCATAGCAGATCTACAACTGCCATGGGTTAGTGTGTTTTAAGGACCTCTGGATGTTGTGCAAATGTAACTTTATGATATTACAAAAGCTTAGTTTTCTTTTTACATTGTTCTTTTTTCTTTATTATCATTTATAAACAAGTCACATCTAAAAGAGAAAAACAGCAACGTAATTTTTCATGTTAAGGAACTGAAATGTTAATTGAATGAAATACGAAGAACATCTGTGGTGATCAGTTTATCAAACCTGTTTTAACCACAGTGATTTAGTTTATCTCACATAAGGTCACAGAGCCTGTTTTAAACCAGAATGCTGGGAAGAGCGGTTCTGTGAATTTTGCATGGAAGGTGTGTATGAGGCTCAGCTTTTCTGATGAAACACTGTAATAACTCAGAATTCCACCTTCCCAGTCCAAGAACACTGCTATTTTTTTACTGGAAGGTAATTCCAGCTTTGTTGATGTCTTCCCATGCAAGGCAGTGCATTTAGTTCTAGAGCAGGACAGAGCCCAGGACATCTCATTGCATCCTAGGCCACCACCACTATCCCAATTTCTACCCACTCTTTTGTATGCTGCAGCAATGCAGACTGTCCCACTCCATTCTACTTCCCAGTAGCAGAGACCTTTCAGTCCCTCGACGCAAAACACCTGAGACCTCTTGAACCTGTCCTCATTTTCAGGTCGTGCAGGTTTCTCCTCTACCTTCTTTACAGTTTTTACTTTTCTGTCTCCTTCTAGGATAAGCCTTTTGCTCGCCGTAGTTTCGTCAAACTTCAGTTCTACACCATCTGAGAAAGACAACGCAAGAATTTGATATCTTTGTGTACTGGAGAGACCACAAAATATAAATACATAAACAAATACAAGCAAAGCAACAAATCAAAACAACATTAGCAGGTATAGCAAATTATAATTAGTGATTTTGATTTCAAAAATGAGCAACTGGAGCTTTAACTTGGTGACTACATAACAAAACACTGAAGATCAGAGACCAACTTACACTTCTTTATCCCCGGTTTTAACCGATGCTCTCCACCATGGTCCAAACTGTACAAGATTTTATTTTATATATAGTATTAGGTATAGTAAGGTAAGGTGAGGAAGTAGTGCAGCAATAATTTTCAAACAGAGTGGAAAAAATATGACTTCAAATTTAATTTATGTTATAAATGAAATGACTTTTTACTTCAGGTTCTATTATAATTTTGCTTTAAAGTTGATGTAAGCTCAGAAAAAGATCCTTCCATATTAATAGAAATAAATGCCTTTTATTTATATATACTATATAGACAATTTTATTTATAACTTACAGCAGTGTCTTCAGCTTCATATTTGGATCTTCCTTTATATCAGTGAGTTCTCTGGTTCCACGGTCTCCTGGGTGATTATAACTCAGATCCAGATGTTTCAGGAGGGAAGCTGCATTGGATATGAGAGATGAGGCCAAGAAAGAGCAGCCTGTCTCTGTTACCTGACAACCAGACAATCTGCAGAACACACAGAGAGAAATTATTTTGATGGTCTTTCTGACTTTTTGATAAAGGTTTGAAACACTCAAAAAACGATTCAATAAACACATGACACATTAATGTCTTTAATAAGATGATCACCTTCTCTTTAACATGAAGTTGCTGCAGTGAATATATTTACATAAGACATTTGAATGCTGTGGATGTTTTCCCTGCTTGGGTAAACTTGACAAAATTTTCACAGAAATTTAATGTCCTATTTACATAAAGTATGAGGCCAGGCAGACCATTTAATTGGATTCTATATTCAGAAATCCCCCTTCATCCCCCTTTAGTCTGGGCTTAGGATATAATGGTAATGGAAAGCAATCATCTAAGGTACAGCTTTTCTGCACACTTTGACTAAAGTGTAAAAAAATATTTGTCTCAAATAAAATTCATATGTGGCTAAAAACAGTCTAGCGTCTCAGCAACCTAACAGTCTGTTATACTTTGTACCATGTGGAAACCTTTTAACTTTCTAACAGGAAAAGACAACAAAAACCTCTTTGGCAGTGTGATTTATGCACACTTACTTCAGAATCTCCAGTTTGCAGTGTGAACTCTTCAGGCCTTCTGCAAGATGCTGCACACCCACATCAAGCAAATCATTATGGCTAAAGTTCAACTCCAAAAGGTTTGAGAATGCAGAGCTTAGGACTGAGGATGTCAGACCACTGCAGGCTTTTTCAGAGAGCTCACACCAAGTCAGCCTGTGAAAATGAGACATACAGCAAAGTGCTATGTACTGTTACTTTGCACTAGTATGTTCAAGTAACTAAAAGACCAGTGTATACAGTTATATAAATTAGTTGTTGGACAGAACATAATTTTTATAGCTCTACCTCTGTGCACCACCACATTGGAATTTAAATAGAACAATTAAGACGATGAGGGTTTCCACTTAGATTCAAGGAGATCTACAAAAATTTTGCATTTACTTTAGAAATTACAGACACTTTTAAACATAGTTCGCCATTTTCAGAGGCTTTGAATTAATATCACAAAAGAACATAATTTTCAATCCAAATAAATAATCCTTTAGATAAAGAATTATTTGTAATATTTGGATTGAAACCATTTGTTAGTCATAGCTTTAAGCCTAGAGCCCATGGATGTCACCAGATGCTGCATTTCCTTGATGCTCTGTCAGGCCTTTACTGCAGCCACCTTCAGTTGCTGTTTGTCTGTGAGCCTTTCTGTATTCAGTTTGATATTTAATGAAAAACCAGGTTTAGATAAGTTGACACTCAAGAATATCCCATTTCTTTGCCTTAAAAAAATCTAGCATGTCAGGACTCAGGAACACCGTCTGATCAGTTTTCCAGTGTTTGGCTGCAAACTTCCGAATTCATCCTGTGACTTACATCAGCAATCACATAATAATAATAATAATAATAATAATAATAATAATAATAATGTATACTTTATTGATCCCCGTGGGGAAATTACTCTCTCTGGATTTGACCCATTCACTCAGTGAAGCAGTGGGCACCCAGTAAGCAGGCGCACCAGGGAGCAGTGTGTAGGGATGGTACCTTGCTCAGGGGTACCTCAGGGTAGCCCTTCAGTGGATTCGAACCCCCGACCTTCGGCGACCACTCTACCTACTGAGCTATCCCTGCCCACATCATCAATAAATGCCAGTGACACATTTCCACTGTTATGAAGTAACAAGGGAAAATGACTCACCTGACCATGAAACTGCTTATCAGTCAATTATCCAATTACTGAAAATAGGTGACTTTCCACAAAGTTATCTGTAACTACTTAATAGTGAATGTCAAGTTGTTCTTAAACCCTCTGAATTAACCTCCTAAGACCCGAACTCTTTCATGGCATGCATTTTTAATTTTTCTTTGCTATTTGGGCTGATTGGGACCTGATGAATGTAAAAACAAAGAATTACCAGATTTTTATTTTTACATAATTTTTGTTTCTGAGAAAAATGAGATCAACATATGAGGACATTCGTTTTAGATTTTGATAGAACAGTGGCAGTATAATGTCATTGTAAGTGGATATCAGGCCCTTGTAGAGTAAATTTAGGTATTTTTAGACAACCCAAAATGTGATGTCCACATATGTGGACGCCAGGTCCTAGGAGGTTAAAGCAGAAAGTTTGAAATTCAAGCTTGATAAATGACACTGAATTGACTGAATCTTCCACTAAACTCACTGGAGTTCTACATCTCTGTGAAAGCTGTTTAGATAGTTAAACTTTGTGTACACTGAATTACAAAAGTAATTATTCAAAAGTACTTACAAGGTAGTTTTTGAGACTTTGACCACTGGCAACATTCCCAGAAGAACTTTCTCTGATTTCCGATACTTTTTCAGATCAAACACATCGAGTTTCTCGTCTGACGTCAACAGCACAAA